GGTTACATTAAAGGTTTTTGTCTCTACATACTTAATCTCGTAGTATTTCAAAAAATTGCACTTAAAAGCTTAAAGGAACAGAGGTTATAAACATTAAGTGAAAACTTTTTATAAGATAATAAACTTATTGTTGTGAAGAAATCAATTCCGCAAAATTCCGTTGGCTCGAACACGTCGAAAGGATGCCAGCTCATGGGCTGTGAAAAGGGTCTCTACTACATGAGACGAAATGAAAAAAAAACACATCCACGCCCTGCGCGCAGATACCTGGGAGGAGATCGCACAAGATAGGGCGCGCTGGCGCCAACTCATAACGGAGGCCAAGACCTACTTCGGATCGCTGAGCCAGCGGAGTAATTATCTAAGTAAGTATATTATCGTGTCATTTATAAATGTCATTTGTCATCAATTCTCATGATGTTTTCCTACTTTAATTTGTCTGAAAAAAAAGTTTAAGATTACTATTTCTTTCTTCCGTTGTTTCAAATAAAAAAAATGAAGTATAGTTCGGAACGAGACGTTACTAATATCTCACGTAGAATAATTACATAATAAACAATAGACAAGACAAACTTGGATTTTGAATTTGTAGACATGCAGTTACGGCTAGCTGCCAAAACGTACTCGTAAGGTGTAAATATTGATATGCGATCTCTTCAGTATTCACGAGTACGTTCACAATTTGAAATATGGTTGGGCCATTTCGTTACGCCCTGTATATTAGATAGTGTATATGGTATTCATACATACATAAACATTTTGCTTTTTACGGTCACGACCTACAATAGACCATTGAAGTAATAACGGTAGGTCTCACTAGGCCAAGGTATTTGCCTGTTGTAGTACTCCAATAGAAATTTGAAGAAACACCAACCTTATTCCAAGAAAATAAGTTGCAAACTAGCAATAGACTTCGATAATCGATTGTATAGTTTTGTAAATAGTAGAATACATAATGTACTAATGTAATTTAGTTTCTCACTTTGAATAGGCATTTCGTAGTAGTACAGTCCAGGCGTTTACCGCAAAAGGCTATAAGTATATCTAATGATTAAAAAACATTTAATCATGTTAAGCTTTTACATGAGGATGATCTGTGAGCACATCCTCTCGTTTTGAGAATTTTGATAGGATTGATGATGGAACGAACCAACGGCAATGTAAGAATAGTGGACGGAAAAAGGAATTCGAGAACGATTCAAAATTATAACAGTAAGTGGCCAGTAACCAGTAAGGAGGGTGATAAAAAGGTGGGACGACGATGAAGGCGGTCAGCATTATTCTTAAAATATGCTTCATATCCGCATAACGAACTGATTTGACTTAGTTTTCACTTTTAAGTTTAATTCTCTTATTCAGTATTCTTTCAAAGGATATATATGTAAATATATTAAGTATAAAGAAAGAGAATAATAATGTTCAACAATTATGTTATACAAATTAAGAATTTAGAACCCGAGTAATATTGAAAATTCAATATTAAAAGGCAACCCGACAAACTATAAATGTTGTTATCGGGTTTTAAATTACAGAAGGCAAACTACTTGCAGTTAATAATGTCACTTTGAAAAATAATGTTGCCAAGTGATTATGCTGAACTAGCTGAAACAGAATCATTTAAAGGTTAAAGATTCTTTACTAATCTGCATAAAAATATTTTATTTACATTTATTCTCTTCCTATTCTCTAATTTTTTATTGGTTTATTAATACACAAATTATTAAAAAGCGTCAGTCAGCGAAGTCGAAATATTAAGACATTATTTTTATTTCACGAAAAACTTGTAATAATTCCTAAGGCGATTATCACACTGCACCGCGCCCCGCGACAGAGCGCGGAGCTGCGTTTTTTAACGTTGTACTGAAGTACCTCAGTTTGTATGAATAACACGCGCCGCCGAACACACTGACAACGCTACTCGCGCGCGCGCGGTTTTACCGCGCCCCTGCGCGGAGGGGCGCGGCGAATCGCAGGGTATGGCACACTGCGCTCCGCACTACCGCGCAGATTTTTAAGCTTAAGGAACTGAACATGTGTTCAGTTTTCTACAATAGATCTCCACGTCGATAAATTTATATTTGCTATAGAAAATCGACGAAGTTTATCTTCATATTTTCTTAAGATTTAAGAAGTTGAAATTATTCATTGTAATGAAGTTGAAATTATCCATTTATCGATCTGGTTCGTAAAAAGGAATGTATCCAATATTTTCGATGTCTTTTTATTTGAGTAAACAAAAACCAAGTAGACTTACTGTTACTGTTATACTAACTGCAGCGTCCTGAATGAGTTCTGTATTATTAACCATTCTTGTCAAAGAAGGATTTCGGCTACTTATACAATCACTACGACGATCAACTGCGAAAAAAGTACTTTAAGTGACGCCATTTCCATTTCCAGCTTAAATTTAGTTTTTTTAAACATAGGAAATATTTCAGTAGCAGTAGATCTCCTTCTAAAAGAGTGAAGTTCGTCCAATCCCGTAAATACTCCCACTTTACCTTTTTCTGCCTCCAGGCACCAATGCTCACTTTACTGGGTTCGGTTTTGACGTATACGGATGCTGGTGAAATTACAGGTACATAGGGCTTTAACAGGCGCAGTGGCAGTGTCCCTAAGATCTTTGCGATTTAAAAGTCTGAGTGGCACCGCAACTGCTATGGATAGGCGTGTCGCTTAACATTCATTTGCCTGCCATGTATAAAAAAAAACACCAGGGCGCACGTGCTAGTCCCGTCACTTGGTTTTATAAAACAAAATATGACATAAGAGCTGCTCTGATGATGGTAATGGCAGACAGATGGAAGGAATTCCTCAACAGTGTACAGCAGCTATTTTGTGTTTGGGCTCAAATAATTCGTTTTGACGAGGACTTACATTATGCATTTCAGTTATCGTTGATTAAACCACGGTAACGAACAGCAAAAGCGGATGTACGAACATTTGAGGTCGTTTTTTCCTTAAAAAAAGTTATAATATTTTTAGGAAATAATAATGAGAAATACGAGTATAAAGGCACCTTGAAAACCAGGATGTATCATCTTAGTCTGCAGTTTTGGATTTTCTTCGTGGGATTATAGAGATAACCTGTAAATTTATGATAGAGGAATAAAAATGTTGTATTTATGTAAATGAATGTAAATCATAAAAAAAACCAGTCATAATGTTACAAAAACTGTACCCATATCAATTTACTTTTTTTTTATGAATACTAATAAATTTGTTGTTACCTTATCTAATGCACACTAATTCCTATTATTACACGAGAATAAAGTTTTTTTTAAATCAAATTCATAAAATATGCAGCTTTATTACGCAAGCTTTTGACTATAAAGTCGTCTACATATATTTGTAATGGGCATCATCTGGTATAGCCAGTTATTAATTATAATAGTTAATACGCTCAGATAACTCGGTTAAACAGTTTGCCAAATTTTAAAAGTAAACCAATTTAGTCGAAATGCTAAATTACGATCAAATGACTGGCAATGACAACCTTTTGGTGTCAAAATAAACCCTCGTGATGTGACTGTTGTTAAAAATGACCGTCAACCAGGAGTAGGAATAGAAATTGATGAATTTTTAAAGGTGGTGCAAAATAGAACACGAAATATTTTCTATTTTGCACTACCGGGTTATAACCCTATGTACAGGGTGGAAATTGGTAATGCCACCTGGAGGGAAAGTACTCGAAATACTGGAGATAGATATCCTATAGGTAGGAGATAGAAATCCTATGCGAGTGTAAACGAGTTGAAGGCTGAGGTTCAGAATACGATTTGTAATACAATTCATCACAACACGTTATTAAAAGTTACTCAAAATGAGTTCGTTAAAAGATTAAATTTGTGTATCCAAGAAAATGGGCTCACTTCGAGCAACTAATTAGTTGGATTACCATTTTTTTCGTTTTATTAAAATACGTTAAGATTTCATGGTTTTTTTTTTTTTTCATTTAATTAACCAATTTTTTGTGAGAGAGATTTTATTCTTATAATTAACCCTATCGATCGATCCATTAAAAGTGCAGGGTGCATTTTTTTTCAGATTAAAGCGGGTTCGATTCCCGCGCGTTGCTAGAAATTTTCGAAAATCTATGAATGCAGTTTTATTTCTTTTAAAAAATAAAGGACTGTTTCCTTTAAGTAAAAATTTCTATCTCCAGTATTTAGAGTACTTTCCCTCCAGGTGGCATTACAAATTTCCACCCTGTATACCAATGTTCCATTTTCTACTCGTTGAAATGTATATTATTAAATTGTTATTTACAAGTATTATGACTAATTAGTTATATTTCAAAATTCGTAAATTGAAATGGTTTTATATAAATGGTTGTAGTAAGCAAGTAAAAGTGACATTATTTAAAGCTTACTGTCAAGTCTTCTACGCGTGTAATCTATGGGCCAGCTTTACGCAGAGAGCTATAAGCGTCCTTCGAGTACAATATAATAACGGGTTCAGGATGCTGATGGGGCTGCCGCGGGCCTGCGGTGCCTCGGGTATGTTTGCGCAAGCTAGACTAGATGACTTTTATGCCATTATGCGCAAAAAGACTGCCTCGATGCTCTGCAGGCTGCGGGCCAGCCCCAACTCCATTCTGAACATTATGGCGGCGAGGTATGACTCGCCATGCATGCGCCACTTTGCCCAGGTGCTGATCAGCAGGAGATAATTTTTCTGTTGGTCAGACACTAATTGTTTAGATGTAAGTTTGTGCACTAACATAGATATAAGAATTCTATTGTTACTAACAAATTTGGACCAATGTAGTCTGTGAATTTAAATTTAATAAAAAAAATAAATAAAATAATAAAAAGTAACCTTGTGCACCACACATCAGTACTTGCATACCTACCTACCCATGACGTAAAAAATATTACCTTTTCTTCGACACAGCAATTTTAGCAATAATTTTATTTTAAATATTGTATGTTTTGTGTTAAAAAATAAAATATTTTTATTTTGTACATTTATTTAAATAGGTGAGAAAAACAACTTACAAAAATCAGCAGGATTATGGTAAGCTGGACACCGCAACCCAGCATTCTGTAGAGCTGGCAAAAGATTTACTCTGGCGCCTTTGAATAGAGTCTGTCCCTGTGCTAAGCAGTAAATAGAGTCTATCTTCTCGAAGAGTAACGCTGATGGCTGATGGATCGTGGCCACCAGAGTTCGTCCACCTCTTGCTAAACTGTTGAGAAGTGCGATCAGAGATGTTGAGGCGGATGAGTCCAGGCCACTGAAAATAAATACGGTATTGAAACACGATTCAAAAGAATTTATTACTCTATAAAGTCTTAATAATAGTTAGCCTATATATAGTCGTACTGCTGGGCATAGACCTCCTCTCACAATGGAAGGTTGGGCTACAGTTCCCAGGCGGATTGAAAAATTCACACACCTCATTAAATTGTTTTGCTGATGTTTGTCGGTTTCTTTACTATGTTTTCTTCAAAAAGCTCATGGTATATTTCAAATTGAATGTCATACATAAATTCCGAAAAACTCGCAGAGGTGCAAGCACAGATTCGGACCTACGACCCTCTACTTGAGAGACAGTAGGTCAAACCGTTTAATTACCACGGCCATATAGTCTTATTATATAATTCTAATATATTCACTATTACAAAATAGATACACCTTGCACTCTTTTTCATACAGTTAATATCGATGAAGTATTAATCCTATGCATTAGTTTTAAACGTTATTTGTTTATAGGATTGACTTTACGTCATCCGGGAAATGTAGATGTACGCCGTGTTATAATTTTGAATCCACATACAGATTTTATAATAATTTGATTGAGAAATTACCATTGTACCATTGTGTTTTCTTATATAGTACCAGCAAAATCGACATTACCACCTTAAGGATTCTTTTTCCGTGCAGGAAATGGCAACTTACTTGTTTTTATATAAGTATTTTTATTACAAACAAGAGGTTTTCACAAAAATAGAGTCAATAAAACAAGGAACGGTACTATATTTAACACTATTACACTACACACTACTACTATTTTCGAACATGCCAGGCTTCGATTTTGTTGATAGTACATAACATCAATTATTCTAACTGTCATTAAGTGAATTTTGATGTAACTTAAAAGTGAAAAATTAATGTCGGCAGAAGTAGAATACATTCATCATTATTTTATTGCATAATTATATCTCATTCATCATTTCTCATTGATATGCTGTAAAGTCTAAGTTTTTACAACAGTAGTAAAAGATTTGGAACAAAATAATCAACGATTAAGTAGTTACAAGGAAGATTAATACTTAATAATCTAGGATCACACTCCATAAATATAAGTAACACACATAATAATTATGTATCGATAAAAGTGCAATTGAGTGCTGTTTTCATGACTGTACGCTAATAGTACTTGATGTTATTGCATAATGATATTGTAAGTAGATTTATTTATACTGACTCATACCATAGTACAATAAGATAAGCAATGTAACTCCACACGGATGTTACAGCGCCTATGTATGCATGCATGCCTGATACGGGTACACATTCGCATAATTTAGCGGTGCGCTCGCGGTGCATAGTGCGGGTCGTCTCACGCGCCATTTATGTCACATGCACACAAAAATGTCCGTACTTTTTACCGTATTGCTTCAATAATATTTTTTTTATGATACCAAGTAACGGGTTAAACAAGTCGTGTGCCTGATGGTAAGCGACACGGCTGTCCATAACAATTGCAGTGCCACTTAGAGCTTTAAAACACAAAGATTAGGGGGCATTGCCACTGCACTCGTCACCCTGAGACATAAGTTGACAAGTCCCATATGCCTGTAGATTCACCAGCACCCTGGCCGCAGAAATAGCTAACATGGCAGTACTTCCCTGGACGTTCTTGGCAAAGTCTTTCATAAGAGTCTTTCACAAGAAGCTCTACTGCTACTGAACACTTTGTGACAAAAAGTAGCCAATGTCCTTCTTCTAGGTCTCACTTACCTCTATATACCAAATTTCGTCAAAATTGGTTCACCGGTTTAGACGTGAAACCGTAACAGTTACTTTTGCAGTATAAATATACTTAATATTGTCATAGTAAAGTAGTAAAAGAAAATGTTTTTAAGAGACTTGAGTCCATACTAGTGTGTGTTAATATATGTGACAGACCTCCAGGCTCCCACTTATTAGTCATACTGACTGCTATGTACAATCTTTCGACGTATGATTTCGAGACTACTGCCGTCACTTGTTTCGAAGTCTCCACAATACGTATATTACTAACTAACTAATGAATTATGTAACTTAATTAATAGAAACACAAATTGCTATTTACTTGTTCGTAAAAATTAATGCTTATCGCTATTGGCCATGATCGTACGTTTAGTAAGTTATACTTCTCAGAACGTGATAATGTGTATCATCGTGTTCGCACTATATTTCTGATAATAATAATATTTATTTCCATAAATACAAATAACAGAAACACTACAAAATTTATATTTTTAGGTTCCGTTGAAAACCAGCGTCATAGGCTGTGGCTTTAGCTGAATGAGATCCTTTTGTATACGCCACAGCCGCACACATATCACTATAGTATTAAGTTATACAGTAAAATGCGTAAAAAGTAAAATGTGTGTACAGTAAAAGGTACTTACAAGATAATTATTTCATACGGCAATCGATTATTTCAGTCTTTTCCTAACAGTAGAGCAGAAAGTGCAGACAAGTGAAGTACATTCTCAACAGGAGGTAAAAAAGATCCGTTCAAATGAAAAAAAAGTGGAAAAAAGTGAGATAAAATACATAGTAATATTTATATTTAAATAAATAAGAATTAGACAAAAAGTAACAATTATATTAACAGCTTGATTCAACATTAAAATAAATCGAAATTGCATTTTTCGCTTTTGTGTCAAAACAGCAATATTTTAAAATTGCGTCAATTTAAAACTTTCTAAATGAAGTTTATGGAATTTACAAGAACACAAAATAAACCATGAATAACTTAACACCTCTGTGATAATATTCAATTAAAAGAAATTAATGACAAAATTGGTAGCCGACTAATTCATTAGACTTAATTTAAAAAAGGTAATGATAAGTTCATTTCCTACCTACACTGCTGAAAAAACTTTGCATTATTTTGAGGATTTCACAGGTGTTCCACTGAATGTGCCGTGTTCAGTATTTTAATATGAAATTTTAACAGTGTACTGGATAACGGCACTAACAAGGGAATTCCTTGCACTATGAGGGCCAGAACAACGAAATTAACATTAGCAAACAGATCAGAACAAATTTAGAAAAAATTGTTACCTAACCTAGTAGATACAACTGGAGATAGAACGTGGGACCACCAAAGTCGAAGTCAAATAATCTTTATTTCACATTATATTCATTACACCTTCATATTGATTAAACTCTACTGCTTGTTCGTAAGACAGATTCGCCTGAGAAGAATGAATAAGAAACTATAGGAGTTGCACACATTTATCATTTATAATATTTATTTCAGATATGGATCGAAACAACATGCAAGAGCTTAATGGATCACTACAACGGATTTTTGTTATCCATGTACGTAGCAGCTTTAGAGTAAAGTTTTTATTTCACTATAGTTCTAAACCTCGTGTTTCGTAAACTTTAACTAAGAACCGGAATTTTATTAGGTAATACAAGCGTATACATTGCCTCATCTAGCTCTCATCTCCCCATCTAGCATCAGCAGTACTAGCCGCTGGGCCATCGAGGAGGCCAAAATTAAAGATAATTTTGAAATTTTGACTTACGTGGTGGGCTCATCCAGAAACAAAAGCGAGGGGTCCGACAGTAACTCTAAGGCAACGGCCAGTCGTCTCTTCTGACCACCTGACAAGTCCCTGCAGAGAGTTTGGGCTGTTCCGCTTAAGCCTAATAATGCTAAAATCTCGTATACCTGTGAAAAATGTAATAATTTTTTAGTGTATTATTAGAAGAGCACACAGAGTAAAATAATGGTCTAACCAATGAAGCAAAAAAATACCTGTAATATAAAATACCATTATACTGGTTAGATCAGTATCTACGGTTTTTTATCAGATCTATTATTTAGTGTGGTCAACCAAAATTCGTAAACAGTACCTACATTTGTGGAAATTGCACTGTTCGTCGTTAACAGGAAACTTCCAAATATTTTAAAAGCTTTTGATGGATTCTTGTATCGTGTATGTTTAAGGAGTCAATGGTTCATTATCAGCTCACTCGTGAACCAAAGCTCAACTTACATCGTCGCTGAAGGGAAAGAACTGACTTTTTGTGATCGTAATTTATGTCAACTGTCTAACGTATAAGCTAGATACGAGTCAAAAAACAGGTATGTTTCTTTAGAGAATTCGCGCGCAGTCTTGGGGATTCCCGCAGTTAACGTATCTAGTTCGTGTTACACAATTGAGATAAAGTTTATTATGCAATGTACCATTGTACAATATAATTTCGTTACTAAAATATGCTTCCATCCCGTTCTGCGGTAATGTAAATTAAGTCCTAGGGCTTCCAATGCGTATCATAATCACAGATTATTCAACGCCTGGCCGGCGCTTTCATTTCACCATTCGCACTCTGGCCAGTCATTTGGCTAAATGATTTCAAATTTGCATCACACAACACCACTTGATGTCATAGTACTTTTTACCATCTTTTGCGAAGAATTTTTATACATTGACTGATTCTGAATGTGAATTCGAAAAAAATATTGCTACTGTATTTACTTCCCGATAGCATTTACTTGTTTGCATGACTTACTTTCTCTTTCCTCTCATGGGCCGTGAAATCGGCCAGTTTAAGAGCAGCAGCAAGAGACATGCCTTCATGCACGGTCAAGTGCACGCGGAGGTCATCGTGCTGGCGAATGTAACGAGCTCCGCCACGGCCCGCCGCCTGGGAAGCGCACGCACACACACCGTTCACTGAAATCTCTCCTTTGGCGCCTCGTGTTCTGTTAACAAAAAGATGTCTCTTACTTTCACATTCGGCTTATTTGACTACTTTTTTTTTAATTAACTCCATCATCAAAAGAAGTTTCAGTCTTTATTGTGTTAATATTTTTTTTTGTTTTTCCGATGTTTTCTGTCAAGCAACTAATCATCATGTGCATTTTTTATGTTTATAAAAATAAGTGTTACCTTGTTCCTAATGACTTGTTAAGTGTACGTGTTATGGTTCTGAATCGTATGTTTTGAATCTGCGTTTTTATTTAAGTTTGTGCTGTACATATTTTGAAATTCATAGTTAATGTACAATTACTCTTTTTATAATTTATTTTGATGTTGGGTGAAGTTTTTTGTGAAGTTTTAAAATATGTTTTTGTGCGAGCCCATTTTTTATGAGAAAATAGAAGTGAATACATTTTGAAATCAACAAAATAAAAATTATTATTAGGTACCATGGATTAACATACACTTTGTACATTTTTCACATCCGGATAGGAGGAAACCACATTCTTCCACTTACAACGATCCTAATCAATTATTTATAACGATTTACATATCAAAAGCTTTTGATTTGAGCTGATAAGCGTTGCTCTGTTGTATCATAGTAAGTAAGTGATGCTAAAATTAATGAACTTGAGTAACAAATTCGACAAACGGCAGTCCAAAATTTACATTTCTGAATAAAGAATGTCTATCAAAAACATAAAATACTTCCGTCATTTTATAGGTACCTGGTAGAGCTCTTTGTGAAAGAGTTCGTCCAGGGAAGTACTGCCATCTTATCTATTTCTGCCGCCAAGCAGTATTGTGAACATTATTTCGGTCCGATTTTGAAGAGTAAAGGTCAGCACAAATCGGAGAACGGCAAGACAGAGGAAATCAAATTTATCAATCCATATTTTATGCGATTGCAATTGAAATAAGGTATAAATTTCAGTCCTCTGAGACGCAGCGACATGCTGCGATGCTCCGAGGTCGGTTTGCGCTGGCTCTATGGGTGCTGGTGAAACAGCGGAGGGGTACCTATACCTCTCAAAATGGTGGACTGCGAAATAGAAAGATATTTTCAATTCGTCTGTATTTTTTTGTGTGTAATTTACGCGTTACTCCGACATTTGTGAAGATATTTCGATGATTTTTTTTTGTCGGAAAAGGGGTACCTTCATAGTCCCACTCAAATGTGAATATTCCACCTCCAAGGGTGGGAAATTAGGGGATGAATCCGGTTTATTTAATTTCACCCAGTTTCCGCTAACCGATTTCAATAAAACTTGGCATATAGATGCAATTCCAATGAAAACGAAACAACGAAAACAGATAAGAAAACTTTTGAGATCGTTTATTTTTATAATAAAAGTTATGATTATTAGCTTTGAGTGCCTCTGCAGTCACGCGACTTGCTCGTCTAGTCACTTTAGTACCATGAGTCTAATAGCTAATTCCCTTCAGTGAACGCTACTTTTGCGTCTTTTAATTGCTGGAATTACCTCTGATTAAATAAGTAACTCTCTTTATTAAACAACGCATAGTCCAGAAATTTATAATTTTTATAAAATGTTAAGAATATTGTGTTTGTAATCAGAGATTGATGCCTAATTTTCGTGGCTATTTTTATTATTTACATAATAATTAATAAATTATTATTGTAATATTTCACGAACATACTACTCGAATATTTAAATAATAAACATTGCCATGGAAATTGGGCAAAAAACACTAACCTGAAAATGGCCTAATAAAGAGTCATTTTAGGGTAGAATAAGTGTGCACGTGACCTTCAACTCTTCTGATGTAATCAGAGCTTCGTGTGAATGTTCAGAATATCCACAACGTAGGAGTAATCCCCCAGGAATAGACGTAGGCGTCTAGTCCCTCGGTGATGGAAAGGTGAAGGCAGAATTAAATCGTGCAATTTCATCGCACCCTCTCCGTGATATATCCTGTAGAATACTGATAAGCAGGCAACTTTACGGGAATGTTCAAGGCTTTGCAGCTTCGCCTCAACTAAATCCGAGTCACCTTAAAGCCTCTTGACTCCGCCATCTTCCTTCTTTTCGAAGCAGTAGAGATCCTTGTGAAAGAGTTCGTCCAGGGAAGTACTGCCACCTTACCTATCTCTGCCACCAAACAGTAATGTCTGCATTACTGTGTTCCGGTTTTGAAGGGTAAGGATGCTGATCAAATTACAAGCACATGGGACTTGTCAACTTATGTCTCAGGGTGAAGGGCGCAGTGGCAGTGCCCCTCAAATCTTTGCGATTTAAAGGTCTGAGTAGCACTGCAACTGTTATGGACAAGCGTGTAGCTTACCATCAGGCGCACGATTTGTTCGTCCCGTCACTTGATATTACAAAAAATAAAAAACAAAAAAGTCTTGTATAACAGAAGTAAAATTAATCCTTCAAAGTATTCGTAAGTATCCGTTCTATGTAAGCACTATGGAATCATGAACCGCGAAGCCTACTTAACATCAAGTAGCCAAGTAGCTGTAAGTTTGCCCAACAATAATTTTTTTTTTATAGTAAAAACAAAAATTAAAAAATAAATGACACTCACGAATAGCCGGCCAGGATGTTAAGAAGTGTCGTCTTCCCAGCTCCTGAAGGGCCCATGATGGCCGTTAGCTCACCAGGCTTGAAACAACCGTCCACGCCTTTAAGAATTTCCTTTTGTTCTGCAACAAGGAATAAAAAGCAGATAAAGTATTATGGCCCAACTAGGTACAACACAGGAGTACGAAAGTTTAGATCTAGGTGAAGAAATAAAGTTATAACGTCTATCTGTAGTTCAGGAGTACAACACAGGAGTACGAAAGTTTAGATCTAGGTGAAGAAATAAAGTTATAACGTCTATCTGTAGTTCAGTAATAAAAATAAAATAATAATAATGTACCTAAGAATCACACCAATTGCCTATTCTCAATCGACGGAATCCCCTGTACTATGAGTACCAGAACAACAGAATTAATTCCGGGGCACTATCTAGAACACCCAGACCATAACCAGTTTAAAAAAATCCGTTTCATTAGTAACAATGGAAGCCCCGGTATGGCAACAGACGCTGGTTTGAGTCCACTCAGATCGAAGGAATTTTTCTTTGTGTTGTTCGATCTTTGCACCGATAATAAAATTATAATGGTTTTTTTATCACGTGACTTTTATCACTAACGTTAATTTTATCACAACAAGCTTTATTTAAAAAAAAACAGTTTTTCTATTAGTATTTGGCTCTGTTGCGTGTAATAAATTCATGATTGATAACTACGAATAATCGGAATACTACGACGTACTCGTTTTTAATACCTACAAATTAAATATAAAATTACAGTTTTAAATTGTATCGATAAAAAAGCAGGATGAGTTGATAGTTACGAAGAGAAGTAGTTTCCTTTGATAAAAGGTTGACGACAGGAGCCATGACCATAAATGAATAAATGGATATTGATTTAGCGTATCCAAATAATTGTAATATTTTTAAATAAAAAGAGTTAGTCCAGGGAAGTACTGCCACCTTACTTATTTCTGCCGCCAAGCAGTAATGTGAGCATTACTACGTTTTGAAGGGTAAGGGTGCTGGTCAAACTACAGGCACATAGGACTTGTCAACTTAAGTCTCATGGTGTGTGATATAAAGCTCTGAATGACACTGCAACTGTCATGAACATGCGTGACGACTTGTTCAATCCGTCACTTGGTATCAAAAAAAATATTTAGAAAACAAATGCGGCAACTGATAGATGAACATCACTAAGCTTAAACTGATATTATGTTGCACGCATAATCGGAAACAAATTCATTGTTAAGTTGCAATAAATAAAACAAGGAAATAATAAAAAATAAAATAAATAAAAAAGCCGAGAGATATTTTACTGAAGGTCAAATGGAAACAGGAAGTTCATTATCATGATTTTACGTCGGATGTATGCAGGATCAGTAAAATATGCGTCATTCCGTCATTCCATTGTCTGACAGTTTTGCACTTGACAACTGCCTAAAGAAAAGGGTGTGATTCAGAGGTGTGCATTCACTAATGTGAACCCGCGTAACCTGCATATTTAGCACTTAACACTTACTTAAGAAACCAGTAACGTCTAACTTTTTTAACGTCTAACGGCAGCATTTCCCTTTTGAATAGCTAAACTTATTCTTTGGTGAAAATAAATAGTAGGCTTTGTGGTCACCGTGCTTTAATTTATTTGTGGCTTCTTGTTGTCCTAATAAATGCTTATTATAGTTACTATTATTTTGGGTGTCTACTCATATACCTCTCATATGAATAGACACCCATAATATAAGTATAAGATTACTCTTACGTGAAACACAACTATAGCCCCATACAAAAATGGTCGGAAATCTAGAATTATCTAATGGATTTGTCCGATTTTGTTAGTAAGGCAGGATTTGATATTGATGCCGCACTCTGACGGGGACTGTAGGGCAGGACCTCTCGCTGCCGAGCGTGGTTGCCGCCATGCTCGATAGCGAGGAGTCCTGGGAGGCGGTGGCCTCCTTTTGCGCAGAGGTTATGTCGCAAAAGGAGGCCGCGGAGCGGGTGCGCGAGGACGCGGCAGACGCGCACCCGCTCCGGCGCAGACGTACGGGGAGAAGGCGAAGGCAGTTCGCTGCTCGCCTGATCCCCTAGTGAGACCAGCGGGCTCTGGACAGGGACCCCGGAGCCTGCATTGCACGGCCTCACTCGTCTGGGGGGCGGGTCGGAGGACAACCGACTCGCCCCTCCGTTGGCGCGGGAGCCCTGGCGTAAGCTAGGGCGGCCGGGCGGCGTCGTGATGAATGTTCACTGATCCCACGGCGCCGACTCAACCGGCGAGAGGGAAACCCGGGGGGGTTTTGGTGGGGTAGGCCCTCCAGTCTGGAGGGAGAGTCCCCACATAACCCCTGAGTCTCCCTGGGCTCAGGGGTATCCATAAAGATTTCCCCCCCGTCAAAAAAAAAAAAAAGGAGTTGATATTGAAAGTTACTGACTTAGGATTTGATCGATTTTGAATGATGCTTGATGGATTTGATTAGTTCTGTTGATGAAGTACTGGAAAAGTCAGGGATAGTCAATGGCTGCTTTGTGAAAAGGCAACAATGTGCTTGTCTAAATGATGGAATTAAAAATTAAAACTATTTTTATTGAAAAATAAAATTCTTAAAGTTAAAATGAAAATTTTAAAAAATAAATTTGAAAAATTTTAAATCTTAAAACTGTTTCGTTCTAAAGAACGATACCGGTAAGTATTTGTTTTACCAAATAATTACAGCTATTCCTTTGTGTATTGCGTGTCTTCATTATTATTTTACTTAGGTATATATTATATAAGTCCACAATTATTACGATATAAATTCGTAAGTTTCTCACAGAACGCGCTGACTGCAAAAAAAAGTCTGTTTTAAACCCATTATAAACATCTGTAACAAGCACATAGAGAAATTTGTAAGATTTGGTAACTCGATCTGTAGCTTAGTTGGTAAGAGCGGCGGTCCTGGCATATCACCAGACGCTGGTTCGAGTCCAGTCAGATCAAAGATACTTTTCTTTATGCTGTTCTATCTTTGTATCAATTTAACAAGTGGAGTATTTTCACAAAAAATATATAAATATATTAACAATTTTAGAAGCAGTAGAGCTCCTTGTGAAAGAGTTCGTCCAGGACAGTACTGCCACCTGACCTATTTCTGCCGCCAAGCAATAATGCCAGCATTAATGTGTTACGGTTTTGAAGGGTAAAGGTACTGGTGGAATTACAGGCACATGGGCTTTGTTAACTTATGTCTAAGGGTGACGGGCGCAGTGGCAGGGTCCCTCAGATTTTTGCGATTTGAAGCTCTGAGCGGCACTGCAACTGTTATAGACAGGCGTGTATCTTATCATCAGGCGCACGATTTATTCGTCCCGTCACTTGATGTTACAAAAAATATAATCGTCCCGTCGCTAGATATTATAAAAAAATAATAAAATAAAATATCATGATATTCAATAATTAAATATTATCACTACGTTCAATATTATTATTATCATCATACCGCTGCCATTGTCAAAATTAATTTGCTTTGAAAACTCAGAACCACGACCAAAAGATTTAAAGAAATGTAATAGGGTTTTCTTAGCTTGCTTGCAAGCTCAATAAGTCCTTGCAATATTTGTACGTATGTGTTGTAAGCGTGAGCTCAAGGGAAAAGCATTGCCGTGTTAGCAAATATTTTTCAAAATATATACTGCGCTTAGGTATCGGCGTTTCACAATCCTTATAAAGGACAACATAACCTTAAGAGATCTGCAATCCCTGCTCTCGCTTAGTTTGAAATTGCATGCGCTTATTCAAACTAAAGTTTCCAGAGAGAACAGGTTTAGCGTGTCTACTGTCTAAAAAGTAGACAAAAAAGTCTTCTTCAAGGTGTCGGAAAGTGACGGGACGAACAAGTTCTGCGCCTGATGGCAAGCTACACGCCTGTCCATAACAGTTGCAGTGCCATTCAGAGCTTTAAATCGTAAAGATCTTAAGGGCACTGCGCCCGTCACCCTTAGACATACGTCAAGGTTAGGAGATATTGTATTGGTAGAAACATCTGACAAGCGTATATATTGACCCTTATACGTTTGCATGAGGGCAGAGACGTAGTGTGCCGTGTAGGTACTATCAAAACTGGAGTCTTCATTCGTGTCCTTAAAAAATATACTTGCCGGAAGGTGCACAACAAGTCAAATAACCGCACTCTTTCTATCTTGTCACGTTTTTTTTTTTATTTTTCATTTTTTGTATTTTTCATTAATTTTTTAAGACATCTGACTTTTTGTGAAATCAGAAATATCTCATTAAATACATGGCTATTCAAACTATCCATGCCCTTTTTTCAACCCAATCAGAGGCTATTTCTGTACAGACTTAAAATGAAACGTCCTTTGCTTATTTCCTTAGTAAAGTGAAACTTCGTTTCGAATTGCATATCCAGTCACTGTCCGCGATTTAATGCTTATTGTTTGTTTTTAGAATGGACGAGTAAAGTTGAAAGGGGTTAAGTTCTCGGGAAAACACGGTGTCATGCTTTGCGTTCCGTTGTAACTGTAGTACCAAATTAAATATGCAGTTGACATTACAACTTCAGGATGTATAACGAAAGCCTTCAACATTGTTCAACTGTACACATAACTTGGCAGCACATATAGTACGCAATTATTATGCGCAGTTTAACGTTGCTGACCGTTTTTATGAGTTTGTTGTCACCTTTCAATGAAATGTTATTATTTATGTGCATAGGCTCTGCGCTTTGATATATTTTAGTGCTTCTTCCGATTGCTATAAAACGGTCTTCGAATTTTGACACACTTTTGGTTTGAGTCATACGTGTGGCGCACTATAAGTTTCCGGAATGAATAAAAAAAAAATACTATAAATGGTCAGAAATGATTTATTGTTTCTCAAAATATTCTCCGTTAATGTTAATGTACTTTTTCATACGAATGAACCAATTTTAAAAACATTTATGCCACTCCTCCGTGACAGTCTCTGAAATTTATTTTTCATACCTTCGACAGCCTCTTCAGGTAATAAAAATCGTTGACCGCATAATTGGTTCTTATATTTGGAAATAAATAAAAATCACAAGGTGCCAAGTCGGGACTGTACGCGGGATGGCTCATAAAGTCAACGTTGTGCTCCTTAAAACATTTATT